CCACTGAACCAGCCTGTTGCCCACCCTGGGGCCGGGTCGGAGCTGGTGCCCCATATCCCATTCCCTCCCCACCGACCCAGCCCTGCCCACCCCTCTTGGAGGCATTTGCCTGGCGCCTCACTCACATGATGCAGCCCAGGGCCCAGATGTCGGACTGGAAGGAGTGCCCCTTCTTGGCGATCACCTCAGGGGCCAGGTAGTTGGGCGTCCCACACACCACGCTGTAGGAGGAAAAGGAACGGGAGGTGAAGCCACGGAGCGCCCCGGCGAGGGCTGCAGGCTGTGCTGGGCCAGCACTCACCCCCGTCTCCGGCCGGCCTGCTCGTCTCTCGTCGCCAGCCCCAGGTCCCCGATCTTCACCTGCATGTTCTTCGTGAGGAAGAAGTTACCTGTGGGGTTAAGAGAGGTCAGCCACTGAGCGCACTCCGGGCAGCTTTCCCGTCACAGGGCCAGAGTCACCCCCCTTTACAGATGGGGAAACTGAGGCTGGCTCCAGCTCACCCAAGGAACCAGTAGCAGGGCTGGGAACCGTGTCCTGGCTCCCAGGCTCTAGCCACTAGACCATGCTGCAGGGGAGAAGGAAGCATGGATTTTAGCACCAGAGCAGGGCGTAGGCGGGGCTGTCTGTGCCCGTATATTTCTATACAGCCGCTCCAACAGCTGTGGAGACGGGAGTAGCCCATTGCGCTGGATGGGGCTTCCTCAGTAGCCCTGGCAGCTTTGTATGTGCCCCAGGGGAGCAATAAATCACAGGCAGGACGGAGGCCCTCCCCAGCCCAGAGGCTGCTTGGCAGGGGGCAGCTGTGTGCCTGTCAGGGAGAGAGGCTGCACCTGGGGGTCCCCACGTATCTCCCCCTCCACGGGGCAGCCCCTACATGGAGAGCTGGCTCCCGGGCTCCCATTCAGAAGCATGAAGTCACGCTGGTGGCATTTACTCGCAACAAGCTAGACGGCCAGACGCGCTGCTAGTGTATTTATAACCCCTCTCCAGCCCCCAGCCCCCTTCGGGGGGGGGGGTCTCAGAGGCCAAGGTGAAGGGCACAGGGGCGATTAACTCCTTCATTGCTGCTCAGGGCTTAAGGGATTGAAAGGGGCCGCAGGAAGATGGTGCTGCATTGCTGTGGGGCAGAGATCAATCAGTCCAAGGGTCTGAGCCGTCTGGGAGCTCAGTCCCCTCTCCCCATTGCACAGCGGGGGAGCTGAGAGGAAGGAGAAGGATGTGACCTGCCTTAAGTACAGTTAGAAAAAGAACCCAGGAGTCCTGACTCCCAGCCACCACTGTTCCTCTGTTCCCCCCACCTATTGGACCACAATCCCAGAACCAGGACCAGAACCCAGGAGTCCTGGCACCCCAGAACCAGCTCAACGCT